AAAAGGTACACCTTCACTAGATTTGGACTTTATTCCTTTATCTCCCCTTGCCTGGAACAATAGTGTAACTAATCTAGCATTTGCTTAGAGTATGTTCTTTCTTTATTGACTTATTAAGAGACATCACCCTGTATGCTATTGGCTTGTAAAATCCCCACAGTGAAGCCCTGTCAAATAAACTACTGGCAAAGTCAATCGCGGTCTCTGAGCGTCATTTGCTGCCCCACTGCCCCGCCCCCCAACAAAACAACCTACTTTGTTGTGCTGAGCGCTGGCCTAGGACTTGAGAAAACTATATTTAATTTTTTTAAACAAAACAAGAGACCTTACCCTCCTGCAGCCAAGTCTCTTTCTCCTTTGCATCTCTGTTTTACTTTACTTGTAACTTGCTTTTATGCTTCGCTTTTGTATCAAAGTTACTGTGTGTACACATCTGTCTCCCCCTAGATTACCAACCCTTTTATAAAAGGATCCGTATTTTATGCACTTCTGTATATCCCTCTACCCCAATAGTCAAGAAATAATCATTATTAAATGAAGTAATGAACAATGAATAAACTCACGGATGTACAGAGGGATGAATAGTTTTAAACAGAAAAAACACAGGCCCAAAAGAGCGTCACTTGTGCTAAAGCCCATGATGCCAAACCTAGATTTAATACCTAATTGCAGTTTTGACCTTCACCAGAAATGTTATCTTAATCAACCAGTCTACAGTTTTCTAGTCAGTACCATTGAGGTAACCGGCCACATGAGACCTGCACCCCCACCCCCAGAGGAAGAAGCTAAAAACCTGTGCCACTCCCTCCCCCCCCCCCCCCGCCCACTGCTTCCCAGACACAAACAGTCACACGTGGAGCGGTGCGTGCACGCCCGCCCGTGCACACACACACGTGCACACGCACAAGACTTCTAATCATGAGACTCTTTTCTTCTGAAGGGCCCTCGCTGACATGCACAGGCCCCCCCCCACCGCAAAAAGAAGACGTCCTGGCCTAAACCTAATCCTGTCTTTTGCTAACTGCTCCCTTGCCCAACTCTTTCTGTAAATACCTTCCATTCTGTACAACCCCTGGGAGGGCCATTCTTGTTGCTAGATGGGATGCTACCTGATTCATCAATCACCTAAAAGGCCAATTATATCTTCAAGTTCATTCGGTTGAGTTTTTGTTTTTTAATAGATCAGTGGCAGCGATGGGAAGTGAACTTCACTGGCATTCAGGGACAACAAGAAACACAGGCATGGTACCCCACAAACCCTTTTGAGTCCACTGTCTTTCCATTTCTGAGGGCCATTAGTGAGTTCCTCTTGGTTGAGCTCTGCTCTTTCAGCGTTTGAGCTCCTGATCTGACTGGCTTTCCTTTACTGGGCAGGTTAGCCTGAGCTGGCAGATGATTCAGTTCAGGGCTCAACTGAGCTGGCAGAGGACTCTGCCTGGAACCAAGCCCCTAGCCTTTCAGACTGCAATTCCCCAGGAGCAAAACCCCAGCCCTTAGCTGTGCCCCTGGATTCAACTTTGGGATCTGCTGATGGTTTAGTCTGCCATTCCCATTCGTTTGAAATCCTTCCCCAGATTCTACATTGGGAATGGATGGTGGCAGCTGTAATTCTCCATTTGTATGCAATCAGTCCCCGGTCCCCATTCTTTGTGGTCTGTTGATTCAACCCTTTCCCCCAGTCCAAAGTTCCATAGAAATTGGTGGTGGTTGCTGCTGGAGTTGGACTAGGTCCCATTTGAAAACTGGACTGGGTCCGAGTTTAGACTGCGTCTGATTTGAGAACTGGATAAGGTCCAGTGGGAGGTCTCAGGTGGATATTAAATAAAGGTCAGTTGCTAAGCGGAATCTCGGAAGTGCTGGAAGCTGATTAGTGAGGCTCTGAGAAAACCGAAGGCCTAGCTAAAAGAAATGAGGTCTTTTATATCCAGAGTTGAGCAGGCTACCTTCCAGCACACCTGCTTATTTTGTTTAAGAACTGTGGTCCCAGAAACTGTACATATTTAACAAAATGGCAAAGTTTTACTAAAAACAACCTAGAATTACAATGGCCATTATGGGGAACATTCCAAAGAAATAAAATCATTGAAAAAGTGCACTTAAAAAGCAAAGATCATGCAGAAGCATCCAAAAGATTTTGAAATTCCAAAATAGTTTCATTGAAAGATTCATTGAAAAAGGCTAATGAAAAATTAAAGAAATAAAAGGTGCCCTAAACAAAAGACTATAAGAGCAATACATAACTTCTACCACTCCCCTCTATCATCCTTTATTTGGATACTATGCACTTTAAAAGAAGACCACCTGGGCTTCCCTGGTGGCGCAGTGGTTGAGAGTCCGCCTGCCGATGCAGGGGACACGGGTTCGTGCCCCGGTCCGGCAGGATCCCACATGCCGCGGAGCGGCTGGGCCCGTGAGCCATGGCCGCTGAGCCTGCGCGTCCGGAGCCTGTGCTCCGCAACGGGAGGGGCCACAACAGTGAGAGGCCTCGAACCGCGCAAAAAAAAAATAAATAAAAATAAAAAAATAAAAAGACCACCTGAGGCTACAGGTAATCCTCCTCAGATATCTTTCACTCCTAGGTCAAAGGCCAAGCTAAGGGCCATAGATAAAGAATTTCTTAACCCAGGGAGGATCCTCAAAAGTTTTAATAAATGGATTACCTCCTGAGATTAGCGGATAAATAAAAAAGCAGAAAGATAAAATGGGAGGCCACCAGTCTGACAGAACTCTGGCCTTCTCCTCTAAGCTAAATGTACCCAGAGGGAAAGAAACATTCCAATAACAGGTGGATAGGTGTTTCAGTCCTTTCTGCCAATCCCCAAACTGCCCTTCCTTATCCCAAAATACTTGGAGCTATTGGGACCTTGTAAGCAGAAATGTCCTGCAAATATGCCCCCTAAAAACTCCACCTTGGAGAAATCCTGGATACCTTCTGTGTGTCTTTGTGATGTAGATTTTCTCTCCCTATATTCTCTATGAGCTAAGAGCCATTCTTTGAAATGCAAATGTTTCTCATCAGAAGGAAAAAAGGAAAAGGAGATACTTGGAAAACGGGCTAATGAGAAGCCTTATAAATCTGCTCCACAAATATCAGTAATTATAAGGTCTCTGTGTCTGTCTATGTGTTTGTCTGTATGTCTACACATATATGTATGTCGTAGATGTGTGGTACTTCTCTACCTTGGGATGGTATTATGAAAATTAATTTGTGAAAGAGCTCCATTTCACTGGGTTGAAAGTCAAGTGCTCATAAGGATTAGCTAAAACTGTCCTCAGAAATACAGAAATTAACCCAACTGATTCTTTTAAGTTCATGTGATCTAAGATACTCTTTAGTAAATAAAAGCTAGTTTAAGTTTGTTGGTTTGACTAAATAAACATGTCTTTAGAGTTATCAGCATTAAATAGCATACGTCTATTCTACCTAGGCTTACAAATTTGCCAGCAAGAAGAATAACTTGTTATGATGTTTTCATAGGTAACCTAAACCTATTTTGGGGGAAAAATGACTTAGATGTAATTGGAATAAGGGTTTACAGATAAAGTTCTTAGCAACAATTGTATTTTATGGTATAAGTACTTAGAAACAGTTTCCTGGATCTTTTCAGTGACTTGAAATCTTAAGAGTCTGCTAAGTTAAATGATGGGAATTCAATGGATATCGAGAGCATTTCCAAATAAGAAAAAAAAATACCGAAACATTAATGAACATAGGTTTATCTACTTTTAGCTTCTAATTACAGAGAAACTGAAGATAAATTTGGTTCTATTAGTAAGCATGCTTTGTGCCATGCTGAGAAATTTTTATGACAAAGCACGTTTCTAGAAATTATAAAAAGTATTTATAATTCTGTCACTCCAAAGAATGCTAGTGTAAGAGATAGTCTACACTTGTTTACTTTCTAAATTTTTAATAGAAATTAAAGTTTCTAAGAGTTAAGAATTCTAACATAATTAAAGCTAATTAAAAAGGGAAACATCTTTATATGCAAGGAAAGTAGGATGTGTTTTTGGTTAAGAAAACATATGAGGAATGAAGACATTTTTGTTAAGGGAAATGAGAGTAATTTAGTCTAAACTAGAACTTCTGGTTATGAAGGACAAACCAAAAGTATACAAAAGGCTGAAGAGAGAAAGAAACACTTTCCTTGTGTAATCAGGCTAGCAAAAATTAAATTTCTATTCTAAGGGTTTTAAAATTAAGCTTTAATATCAATAGTGTACTTAATGTAAAACTAGAACTTAATTTTCCTTCAACTGCTGAATAGTTAGCTAAGTATTGCTTCATATACTAATCTGTGATCCTAATTAGTCAAGAGTCCAAATATTTTGATAGCTCTGATAAACTTCCCAAAATGAAATTCTAAAAATGAAGTGTTTTTGACCTGAAAGAAACTGAGATTTTTTTCCAGAAGACCCTTGGGACATTCCAAAAGATTAAACTAATTAGGCTTACTTGATATGTTAAATTACATGGGAAGCATTGTCAAATAAGTAACATTAAGTCTTCTTTATATTGTTTCTGTACAGGTATGTGTTATAAGTATTCCAGAAGTTGTGTGAAATTCCTGGAAGTCCGATACGTCCTGGCATAAAAATGTTGCCTGCCACCAAAATTGAGGCTCACACTAAAAAGACTGAACCTGAGTATCAGGGAAATGCCCTAGCTGACCTTCATGCAAAGTCAGTTGCAATAGAATCTATAAAGATTGTGGCACAGCTGGATCAAGTCAATTCTGCTTCTGCAAAACACGACCTCTTATTACCAGATTTTTGCCATCCTGATGTAACATGCAACAGTCTCCTCCTGAATCAGAGAAATTAAGATAGGTAAATAATGGCTGTAAGTTAAACAGTCAGGGATACGGGAAGCCCAAGATGGCCACTTTGTTCGTCCTAGCATCCTGGCAGTCCCCATTTTTTGGTTTTTGCATTCCTACACCCACCATAGTGCATTTAAGAAAAACTATTTTTGTCCTTAGAGGCCTGAGACCTCCTACTTCTGGACCCTTCAAACACCTGCAGCAGGACTTCATTCAACTGCCACTTAGTATGAGTTATCAACGTGTTCGCGCTACTGCATGTAGGTTTTCTGGATGGGCTGAAGCCTTGGCCCATTGCAAGGCTGATGCCCTCACAGTGGCAAAGAAACTGTTAGAAAATGTGTTTCCCACTTGGGGTATACCTCCCATAATTTCCAGTGATCAAGGCAGCCACTTCACTGGGCAAATCATACAAAAGCCTTAATGGAAACCTTGCAAACTTCTTAGAATTATTATCACTGTCCCTATCACCCTCAATCATCAGGAAAGGTCAAGAGAACTGATAGAAAAACTGGATTCAAGCAGAACATGTATTAATTACGTGGGACTACATGAACTGAGGAGGATCTGTAATGTTTTGTTTTTCCAGATTTAAGGATACCATTTCACTTATCTATGATTTACTGTAATTTGGTAAAGTATACCTTCATGAACAAAGGTGAAATATTTACTTTTTCTACCTACTTGATCCCTCCAGAATTCAGAAACGCTCTGTGAGTATACTTATTTTCATGACAATATATTTGTTTGCATAAGTTCAATAAGAATCTGTTCTTTTTATAACAGGACACAATTACAAACACTGGCTACATTACCAAGGCTTTGACTGGAATATCATATTTGAGAGAGACAAGCACAGACTCAGATATGACCAGACAGCTTCGGGGAACTGCTTGGAAAAATCGACCCGGTACCTTGCTTACAAAACTCCAGCAAAACAGTCCTAAAGAAAAATTTACGTGGTCAATCATTATTCTTGCTGCACTTATATAAATAATCAGGTCAAATTAAATATAAACTAATTAGTTTTATTGTGATTATCTTTGGTAAAAAATGGGGGTAACTGTAGTGAGAAAAGTTGTTTGCACCTTTGTACATAGTAGATTCTACTCCTCTTAATTGTGTTTGAGTTTTTGTTATACTTCTGTAAACTCGACAGGACCCTGAATTCTTCTGGTTTCCTCAAATATCTGGCTATGACTCGCCAAACTAACATTTCAATTTTCTCCCACCGTCTGACTTGAAATCACTAAGAATAAAGGTAGCTGTAGAGCCCTGTTGGAAGGGACCCTACCAAGTACTTCCTGACCACTGACACTGCTGTAATACTAAAAGGTACTGAGCCTCAGGTACACATCTCACAGTTAAGCTCTGACACCTGGTCTGTACAGATGCTGGAGGCCTCTGAAGGAAATCAGTGAGGAAGAGAAGGAGCTGACATCATTGTACACTGCTTCCACCCAAGAGGGTAGATCAAGACTTCCTACATTAGTTAAACATGAAACCCTTTCTTCTCTTCACTCTGGCATTAGCCTGGAAATGTAACACCCTCATCTGTATCTCCCAGGCCATTACTAAGGGGGGAAAACTCTGGAATTTAGAATAATTCTTTCTTTCAGGCTAGGAAATTCTCTTCTCACATGCTCTAAAAACCTGAATTACCCCTGGCTTGAACAGGTTAATGTAGCAGTCCCTGTGAATAAATCCATTAACAGTAGTTCCTTAACAGGGATGGTTTGCACCCTGCAGGTCTTGTCTTTGTCTATGGTGGTTATCTTTCTCCTTGGGCCTATGAATGCCTAGACGATTAGGGCACAGCTGAGCTATGGCTCCTAGATTATTTAACTGCTCCCCTAACTGTTCTAAAAAGTACCTACCAGGAGGCCTTCATGATTCAAGAATTGCCTCCTTTGGCAGGGCCCTACTTCCCTGGTTAGGAGTTAAGAGAGATGAGAATATGATTAAAATCGAGCAGGGGTGGGGTTCCTGGGCACAGAAAGCTTTCTATGTCCCCAGTTTCTTCTTTGTAGCATACAGGCTTCAGCCTCCATGACTTTCCCTGAGTTCCAAAGGGCAGGTTCAAACAGTTGCTAATCAGGGAAGAGACAGGATGCAGAGACAAGGGAGGAGCAGTCAAGAAACAATAGTGCAGCCTTGGGGCAGGGTCCTGGTTCCTCCTTAAGGGATCCACAGAACAGCATCTTTGAGCTCTTCTGCAGAACTAAAACCCCCAACAAATGGAAGATGTTAACTCCTTGATGAAGCTTTCTTCACTGCAGAGAGAAGGTCACAGTTGGATAACCTCAAGAACCACAGGAGCTCATCAAGAGACCCCCTGAGGCCAGATTAAAGGAATGCAGGCCCTGCACACACCCTGATCCTTATCAGCAACCCAGCCCTTGAGCCACTGCTATAAAACTCCTCACCAAATTCCCCTAGGTTGGGACACACAGTTTTTCAGGACATGAGTCTGGTGTGTCCCCCTTTTCCTGGCAAAGCAATAAAGCCAACCTTTTCTACTTCACCCCAAACTCTGTCTCCAAGATTCAATTCGGCACCGGTGCACAGAGGCCAAGTTTTCGCCATCGTGATCAGGAACTTTTCCTTAACTCTTAGAGACGCTGCAGATTCCATTGCTGAGACACTAGGTGATCAACACAAATCCTTAAACTCTCTGGCCAAAGCTGTTCTTGATAATAAGATAACCCTTGATTTTCTTTTAGCTAAGCAGAGATATGTTGGTATGTGACCAACACTACCTGCTATTCCTGGACCGACACCACTGGGGAAGTTGAAACTCACTTACATAACATCACTGAGGAGGCCAGTTGGCTTAAAAGGGTGACTCCTTCAATGCTGGATGGGTGGGCGGGATGGGGGGAGTTGTCTTCCTTTGACTGTATTAGGTCTTAGGGACTAGGGCTTCAAAGTGCACTCTAGACATTGTCAATTATCCTGCTTACAGATTTCATAATAATCGCCCAGCAGGTTGTACCTTCTCAAAAGTTTTAAATGCATATTCACAGACACTCAGCAGCATGGAGAAGATCTCCCGAAGACCGGAACATCAGAAAAGAAGTGAAGGGAGACCTTCAAGCTGGCGGAGGAGTAAGACGTGGAGATCACGGTCCTGCCAACAAATACCTCAGAAATACATCTACACGTGGAACAACTCCTACAGAACACCTACTGAACGCTGGCAGAAGACCTCAGACCTCCCAACAGGCAAGAAACTCCCCACGTACCTGGGGAGGGCAAGAGAAAAAAGAAGAAACAGAGACAAAAGAATAGGGGTGGGATGTGCACCTCTGGGAGGGAGCTGTGAAGGAGGAAAAGCTGCCACACACTAGGAAGCCCCTTCACTGGTGGACACGGTGGGGAGGGGGCAGGGGGGATGTTCTGGAGCCTCGGAGGAGGGCGCAGCCACAGGGGTGCGGGGGGCAGAGCGGAGAGATTCCCGCACAGAGGATCGGTGCCGACCGGCACTCACCAGCCCGAGAGGCTTGTCTGCTCCGCTGTCGGGGCGGGTGGGGGCTGGGAGCTGAGGCTCGGGCTTCGGAGGTCAGATCCCAGGGAGAGGACTGGGGCTGGCTGCGTGAACACAGCCTGAAGGAGGCTAGTGCGCCACAGCTAGCCGGGAGGGAGTCCGGGAAAAAGTCTGGAGCTGCCTGCGAGGCAACAGACCATTGTTTTGGGGTGCGTGAGGAGAGGGGATTCGGAGCGCTGCCTAAATGAGCTCCAGAGACGGGCGCAAGCCGTGGCTATCAGCGCGGACACAAGACACAGGCATGAAATGCTAAGGCTGCTGCTGGAGCCACCAAGAAGCCTGTGTGCGAGCACAGGTCACTATCCACACCTCGCCTCCCGGGAGTCTGTTCAGCCCGCCGCTGCCAGGGTCCTGTGATCCAGGGACAACTTCCCTGGGAGAACACATGGCACGCCTCAGGCTATTGCAACGTCACTCTGGCCTCTGCCGCCACAGGCTCACCCTGCATTCCTTACCCCTCTCTCCGCCATGCTGCAGTGAGCCACAGCCCCTAATCAGCCGTTCCTTTAACCCCCTCCTGTCTGGGTGAAGGACACACGCCAGAGGGTGACCTACATGCAGAGGTGGGGCCAAATCCAAAGCTGAAACCCGGGAGCTGTGCAAACAAAGAAGAGAAAGGGAAATCTCTCTGTGCAGCCCCAGGAGCAGCAGATTAAATCTCCACAATCAACTTGATGTGCCCTGCATCTGTGGAATGCATGAATAGACAATGAATCATCCCAAAATTGAGGCGGTGGACTTTGGGAGCATCTGCAGACTTGAGGTTTGCTGTATGTGACTGACTAGTTTCTGATTTTTATGTTTATCTTAGCTTTGTATTTAGAGATTATCATTGGTAGATTTGTTTATTGATTTGATTGCTCTCTTCCTTTATATATATATATATTTTTTTTAACTTTAATAACTTTATTTAATTTTTTTATATTCTATTTTTTTCTTTTCTCCCTTTTCTTCTGAGCCGTGTGGCTGACAAGATCTTGGCACTCCGGCCAAGGGTCAGTCCTGAGCCTCTGAGGTGGGAGAGCCAGTTCAGGACATTGGTCCACCAGAGACACCTGGGGCCTCATAACATCAATTGCCGAGAGCTCTCCCAGAGATCTCCGTCTCAATGCTAAGACCCAGCTCCACTCAACGACGAGCAAGCTACAGTGCTGGACACCCTATGACAAACAACTAGCAAGACAGGAACACAACCCCACCCATTAGCAGAGAGGCTGCCTAAAATCATAAGTTCACAGACACCCCAAAACACACCACCGGATGTGGTCCTGCCCACCAGAAAGACAAGATCTAGCCGCATCCATCAGAACACAGGCACCAGTCCCCACCACCAGGAAGCCTACACAACCCACTGAACCAACCTTACCCACTGGGGGCAGACACCAAAAACAATGGGAACTATGAACCTGCAGTCTGCGAAAAGGAGACACCAAACACAGTAAGTTCAGCAAAATGAGAAGACAAAGAAATACGCAGCAGATGAAGGAGCAAGGTAAAAACCCACCATAACAAATAAATGAAGAGGAAATAGGCAGTCTACCTGAAAAACAATTCAGAATAATGATAGTAAAGATGGTCCAAAATCTTGGACACAGAATGGAGAAAATACAAGAAATGTTAAACAAGAACCTAGAAGAACTAAAGACCAAACAATGATGAACAACACAATTTTTAATAAATTAAAAATTCTCTAGAAGGAATCAATAGCAGAATAACTGAGGCAGAGGAATGGGTAAGTGACCTGGAAGATAAAACAGTGCAAGTAACTACTGCAGAGCAGA